CATCAGCCACAACATCCAGATTTGTGGACAGAAATTACATTACACAAGAGCTGTATGTTAATTTTGTATTTTTCCACCAGAACAGGGTTCATTATGTTACTTCCAACTGTCAGCCAAAGATCTCAAGGCTCTCTGGTGACTCCTCTCTGAATAGATTGATATCCACTAAATACAAGGCACTCTTTCCCTCCAGAGGTTTCCCTTCATTCAACATCTGTACTCAACAGCAAGTCATCCACATATACATCTACAACTATAAAACTCTACTTGCTCACTCACCAAGAATAGAAAAAAAAAAACCAAGAACTGTCACATCTTCACAAAGATCTCAACAAACACAAGCTCACATTGACAGAAGGGTGTTTTCATGGCAAAGGTAACCCCGAGTTTACAAATCCTCTCAAAAGCTTATAACGCAGCAAAACAACTAATCTGTGATAAAAGGTGGGGATTTTTTGTGATATGTTAACCTGACAAATAATCTGCATCTGACTGAATTTGAATGCTGGTAGCAAGAACACATTTCCCTTGATCTCCCAAGCCTGTTTTCATTGCACTCATTTGCATCAGCAAGACATGCTTTTGCTATGCTCATTTCCCCCTCTCCAAGCTCTAGTGCAAGTTCAAAAGTCCTGGCCCCTCCAATGTATCAGGTATGAATTAATACCCTTCCTTAGCTGAACACAGCAGCAAAGTGGAAACAGACACTTGCAAGGCAGTCTGCTTTGAAAGGAACTGCAGGGACAAATGGTGACAATGAAGTTCTAGTTATAAAGTAAAAAGGTCAAAGGTTCAGACAGGCACAAGGATTACAAAACTACAAGTTTGTCAGAGTTCCCCCCAGCCCAGGTTTAAACAACCAGGGTCAAGCGGTAGCTTTCCAATTAAAACCCTATAAGGATACTTTGTCTTTTGAACTTCATAGGGAAAAAAAATACAATTTTCTGATTTAGAAGTTGTTTTGAGGACCCATCTCAAAATCAAACAGATAAAGGGCATCCAACAACAGCTCACCTAAAGCAAACACTCACTAACCCTTGGCTGCCTGTGTGGGGGAAGTTGGGATGAGGTAATCATGTTCTCCTATATTAGTGTGCTGACCCTTTGTAGGGCATGAAATTAACCATCAGCAAGGAAAAAATCTGCTACTGCTTAAACTACTTTGCTACGCAAAGTGGTCTTAAAATGAAATATGGGGATTGAATTTCGTCTGGCAGATTAACTTGTCTAACCTCTCTGCAGGCATCCCTTCCTGCTGAACTCATTTGAGAAACTATTCCAGACCCTACTGGTGCACAGGTCTGCAACAAACAAATGCAAAAGCAACTCTTATTTCAATGACATTAACATCAGCTTTGTGGAAGATGAGGAGCCGAACATTAACAAAAGAACAGAAGCTTAAAAAAACCCCATAGTGCTGTGACAGAAACTACCCCATCTCAGTGTGAAATTTTACCAGAAATACCACCATAAATCTCTACAGCAACAGAAGAATGCAGTAGTGACAAAAAATATTAGTCCTGCATCTTGCAGTCATTCCTTCAGTGCACAAACCAAAGTGGAAGGCTGATCTGGGTGTTTCTCACTGCTTGGCACAAGTCAGACACAAATGGCTGAAAATACTGGTTTTGTTGCCTTGCTCGAGACAAGATCCTGCTGAAGCACAGGAAAAGTCTGAAACTGTGTTTTAAAATAAAGAGGCCTGTTCTTATTGTTTGAAAGAGTAAGACAGAAATACACAGCACAGTCCAAGCCATACAGCTACCCACAATATCTTTAATGCCTTCCTGCCACACACACACACACGAGCATCAGGAGAATATAAACCAGTATGGTTTGAATACAAGTGAAAGGCATGATGAAGTACACCAAGTGACTATTACTTATTCCATTCCAACCTTGACTATCACCTTCCATCTAAAACTTAAAGAAAACATCTTGGGTGAAACTGTCTGCAACATTTCTCATTCCCAGCATGCAGGTTAAAAAAAACCAAAAGCACCAAAAAACCCACCCAAAACAAAACACTTTTGATTTAACATTTGATATGTTTTGTTTTCAAGGACAAGCTTTGCAAGAAAAATGTAGCCACACAGAATGAAATACGACTTCTATTTTTCATTCCAATTGGTTACTGCTCAAATATTCTGCATTCATTTAATCCTAAGGTATTGTGTCTGAACAAGCATCTTGTGAGTGACTGTGAGAAGTACTCACAAGGTCAAGCACTACGTGGCACAGCATGACAAAAACGCAATACTAGATTCTGACACGAAAAAAATCCACCTCAGGAATTAGCTACATACAGAAATATGTTAAAGAGTGGTAAACAGTAACATTTAACCTGTGAGATGATTTATCAGCTTTGTACAGCAAAGGAATTAACTCTTAGAGCACTCTGGGAGCACAGATGACAGTTACAAGAGACAGATAACCTGGTACACCACTGGTGAAAATGGCACTTTGGAAGAGAAGAGGCAGAAGGTGACTCCTCAGAAGGAAACTCTTGTGCTCCTCACCTCACAGGAGACCTGACTGAACAATGCTGGTGCTACCCTACCACAGCAGACCGTGAGCTGGGAGCACTCAAGGGGAAGCCAACTACTTTATCCCACCTTCAGTGAAAAAAGAGAACTGCAAACAAGAAGATGCAATAACATTTTCACAGCAATAGCTTCTCCTGCAAACCCTGCATGCACATGACTGCCAGAGTTCTGAAGCAGCCCTCTCATCTCTGCTGCCACTCCACCTTCCAAATCCTCACATCCAGCACCCTTGCCCACAGGCATTCCAGTTTTTCTGCAGGTCAACTTCCACCTGTAGCTACCCCAGGATTTCAATTCAGAACAGTGATATTTTAAAGAGGTATGGGAAATCTGAGGCGCAGAATAAACACCAGATAAAGTACTTTGCACTTATGTCTTACTGAAAAACCATATATAGAGAAAACGGGTAGTAACAGGGAAATCACAGATTCCATCAAAAGGAAAAGGGTAGAGGCATTCCTGGTTGCAGAGAAAATGTTTGGAATGGTGAACCCTTAATGCTTAGTAATGAGGAAGTAGATGAAAATAACCTAAATTTTTCAATACCATTATCTGGGAGGACTCACTTTCCATTCCTGAAGTGATGAAACACACATGAACACCACAGAATGTATCCTGTTACACAGGACATGCTACACTTCAGTTTGAGTTTCACCAAACCACACCGAACCTGTAAGCACCTAAATAGTCCCACAGGCACAGATCAGGTTTTATCATCAAGGTTTCACCTTTCAAACCTGGTAGTAACAAAAGGCTAAAAAAGCATCCACTATCGAGGTACGTCTATTATCAAGCAGAAAACTGAAGTTCCTAGTTCTTCAAACTATTAACACAATACTGCATTTTCCCTCCACAACCCTTTCTTAACACAGAATTGCAGTAAATCACACTAATCAACTATTTTACTGAAGTAAAATACATAACATGGTATAACTGGAACTAAGCAAGTTTGATGTGCGTATGTGTCTGAATTACCATCTGTAAAAATTATTTTTGCTGGGAAGGAAACTATCATCATCTCATCCCATCCATGCCTTCCTTCTCCCTGCACAGCCTACCAATAGGCAAATCTGAATAACTTATTCAGCTGTGGCTAAACACTTTGAAGATCTTCATAAAAATAGCAGAAAGCAATGAGAAGTCCGTGTATCAAACAACCACTCCAAATAAGTATTAAAGTTACTGAAAAACAAAGCTGGTTAAAGCTGATCTCTAAGTTTTCCCACGTCCCCTTCATGAGAAAGTTCACGCCATTCAGATTAGTTGCTGCTGCTGGCAGAAAGGAATGTCTGACTACAAGTGACTCTTCAGTACATCCAAGAAACATCTGCCAAAGTCAACTCTGCTCTTTAGAAGATAATCAGGTGCTTACAATTACTAAAGAATAATAAGGGATTGCCAAGTACAAGAGAAGAGCACAAGACCGCAGGTTTCTGGAATTAAGCACACGGCCATCCTCCCCTGCAGCTGTGGAGCACACATTGCTGAAACAGAGCGTTTTACTGCTGCTGAAACTGACAAATAAGTAAATATTTATTATCCTCCCACAAGAAGTGCAAACAATACAACACCGTTACCACTAACGCAACTTACAAACAGCACAATTGTTCAAAAGGGGGTTAAATTCCCACACAGTGACAAATAACTCAGCCTGAACCTCAGTCTAGCCAAGAAACATTGTCCTACCAAACAAGCACCAAGCTGTTATTAAAGAGAGCCTGGCAGAGGAACTGAACTTGCAGGAGGATCCCCTGTCGCAGCGGCCTGTGGCTGTTCACAGCTCCTGCAGCGGTGACTCCATGCTCTCCTCAGCCCAGCACCGACCACCTGGCGGCACTCCAGAGGAGACAGAGCAAGGTGAGCTAATTTAAAATGAGTCCTAATGCAAATCAAATTAACCTTCTGACATAGTCTATGAAGACTAAAATGAAGAGTTACCAAAATCCACAAAACTATTTCTAAGCCTAAAATTATCACATTACAACTCTGCAGTCCTCCAAGACAACACGGGCACGTCCAGCAGCTACATCACAGCTCTCAACTACAGACAGCGTCAAACTCTGACAGCTTTAACAGGCAAGAAAACAGCAATTTATAGAGCTGTTCGATGCCGTTAATAAGCCTCCATACACAACAAATACAGCTTTTTTTCTAGTAAGCGTATGAAAGCTGAGCACACCTGACCACCCAAACAGCACTCCAAGAACTCACATGTACAAAGTGCTTTCCTATGAGCACAGGTTTTTTTTTATTTGAAGAGCAACTACGAGCAAGCGTAGCAAAGTCATAGGTCCGTGAAAAACCTGTCTCGCCCCGTCCCCGGGGTTTGGGCACAGCCGGAGACGCCGGCTCCAGCGGCCCCGCTCCCACCACGGACACGGGCGGGCGCAGCCCCCTACACGGGCACGACAGCCACCGGGGCGGGCCGGGGCGGCCCCCCTGCGCCCCCCTTACCGCCGATGATGGTGCGGATGAGGGAGGCGTGCCCCGGGCAGTCCACCAGCGTGAGCTGCAGCTCGCCGGGCCCCGGGCCGAGCTGCGGCGGCAGCGCGGTGCGCAGGCAGGAGAAGCCCAGGTCCAGCGTGATGCCCCGCGCGCGGCTCTGCGGCGCCCGGTCGAAGGCGGCGGTAGAGCCGGTGGTGCTGAGCGCCCGCGCCAGCGCCGTCTTCCCGCTGTCGATGTGGCCCAGCACTCCCACATTCACGTTCAGGACGCGGGCGGCCATGGCGGCGCTGCACCCGCCCGGTCCGTCCCTACAGCGCCCCTGCGGCAACGCGGGCCCCGCCGCCGCCGTTCCGCCCGCCGGGGGCCGGTGCGCAGGGCCAGCGCCGGGCAGGGCAGCTCGGAGCCGGCGCGGTTCGTCCGCTCCCGGCCGGGGATGAGAAGCAGCGGCCCGGCACATAGCCAGCTCACCTCTCTGCCCCTAGCAGACACCCCTGCACGGAGAGGCAATTTCAGCAGGTTACCTCAGTGCCCATCACTGGGCCCCCCTCCTCCCCGGTGCGCGCCCGGCCTGAGGGAGGGCCGGCAGCCGGCGGCCCTGGGAAGGGGGCATGGGATTTACCCTGAGCATCCGCACCTTCGCTCACAGCTCGCCCACGCTAATTAAACACTTCAGGGCTGCTTAAACACGCTGTCACATCACCCCCTCCATTCTGTCCCCAAGCACACCCCGGTGCTGCTGGAACTGTGGTGACCACGTTTGATTTCGAAGTCACATGGACATTGCAAACCCACGTGAAGAAGCAGGTCACGTTTGGATCAATTATTCTCCTTACACTTAATAAATTCGAGGCTTGCATAATTAATTTTCCTGTAAAGGGATATTTAAGTTAGGTAAAATGCTGCTTTAAAAATCATATCCTTAATGAATTAAGTATCCAAATTTATTAACAGTGAAGAACAGATCCCCTGGTAACCACCGCTACCACCACCAAAAGAGACAAGATGAACATTGGGGAAGGCTGAGGGCATTTCCGAGGCTAAGGGCGTGATTCCTTCACTGATTTAAGTCACTTCACTTTACAGATTACCGGGAGATAAATGCTCTACAGGATAAAGCTTAACACGTGTGCTCGGCATTTCAACAGTGACTAAGGAGCCCAAAGTACCTCTTCAAATGATTACAGCTCTTTACAAGCCAAGAAACCACGACTGTGCCACGGACTTCCCACAGGTGTCAAAGTAGACTAGACTTGTTCTATATTCTTTTTTTTTTTTTCTTTGAGAGCAGGGCATTTACTTTTCTACTCACTCCATGCAGTAATACATATTGCTCACAGTAATAACATTCACATTTTAATAACTAATGAATGAGCCAGGAGTGTAAAATGACTTGCCTAAGGCTACTGCCAACATCATGGATTTGGTTTTTAGGCTTTGACTCCAAACTCCAGGTTTTTTCCTACAAAGAAATTTGCTTTATATATCAACACTTTCAATACAAGAGTTTGGTTTAAAGCTGGATGCAAATTACTCCTCCTTCCAAAACACATGGAAGTCAAGATGACAGAATCAATGACTCAAATGAAAAAGGGGAAAAAACTGCATTTCTTCCTAGCACTCAGTGCTATTTGAGAGACAACTGTCTCCCTGAAGGAAAGACATGAACTCACAAGGAATACTGAGCTAGCCTAGCTAATCAACTTCTCAAGCAGAATAGTTCAGCCTGATGGAATCTCTGTCATGGGAGCCAAATTAAGCATAATGTCACTTTTCAGACCAAGTTCCCAGGCTTTGAATAGTTTCCTGTTAAATCATTAGGCTCATATACACTTCCTTGTGCTGAATCTGTTACATCAATATGCACTTGCAAAGGGAAGGGAAAGTTTACATCAATTCCCATAAGGCTCTAAAAAGTTAGAATCCACACAGATATCCCTGTATCATATAACCTACCCTTTAATTCTTTTCTTTTAGCATTATTAGATGAGTTCAGAAGGAAGAGGGAAAAGGTCTGATTCTCAACCAGAAAAGGTATCCAGAAATCCTCCAGAAACATCTAAAATAACAGCTGTTTTTCAACAAGCATTGACAATGTAGAAAGGTCTAAAACTTTCTACAAGTCTTGAGAAAGCTGGCAATGAGGGCAAGGAGGTCCCATTTCAATACTCACAGTGTAAGAGGCCACGGCAGGGTTTACCTGAGATCCATTTTGGTCTGCCAGCTTAACAAAGAGATGGATTTTGCTCAGCCAGAATTTAGAGGGATACTGGGTAGAACTTACGGGATGAAAAAATGATAATTCTCTCTGTTAAGGATAGCTAAGGAAGGAAGATAAAACTGCAGGAAAATGGCTTTCATTCCACTCCTCACATAACGATATTGGCCCTTCTTTTACTCCTGAGTGACCTGCAAGAAGGAGGAGTAGAAATGGAGGTTTAATTTTATCCCTTTACACACAGAAAAGATTTGTAACTTTCTAGATAGGGAAGCAAACAGTGAAGTCCTTCCTTCTGTAGAGGGAAGAAAAAAAACCTCGGTGCCTACACCTTTGTTATTACCACTGAGCTCATACCTCTGTCTCCAGGGTTTTAAAGCCTGTGGATCTGATTTTGCCACATATCACTTGAAGAAATATTAGAGTGCACATTGTGCCTGTGAAATGAATAACTTCAATCACCAATATTAAAGAAGAAATACGATAAAGACAGACATAAGCACTTTTATTCAGCATTTAGAAAGGTCCATTCTGTTAGCTTACAAAGTTTTAAAATTAATTACAAATTTGCAAGTTAAGGTGTGGCATTCAGTAGTTCACATCACTCCTATTCCATTGAAGAGTAAAAAAATAATCAGCTTCTTTTGCAGGGAACAAAACAAGACGGCCACTATCCCCATCACTCCCCACCCCTACACAAAGGTCTCGGTGTTACTAAGAGGGAGAGGGGAACCTGGCAAAATGAGAGAATCCCAACTTCTCCAGATTTTTCTATATCCCTCAAAAAAATTGTAGCATTTAGCTGTTTTCCTTGTTTTCCCATAAATAAACCATTCTCCATCCCAGTTGTTCTCTCCTGTATGGAATTTCTTCCTTAAAACATGTTCACTTTAATGCTAAAGTTTATGGACTCATGGGAGAAAGGGCAGGAAGTCAGACTTTTGGGATAGGGTAAAAATGTAAAGGTCATTCACACACACACACACATACTCTCTCTCACTCCAAAAATAATACACTATTTGACAGTTTCAGGATTCAGCATGTCCCACTGAAATTTGAAAGCTTATGTGAAACTAGGCTACGTCCTGTAACCTCAAACATTTAGTCTAGGAAAACAGCCCTCAAGTCTCCAGCTCCCAGCTCGGGTATCGCATGACGTCTGTGCCAAATAGAAGACCTCAAACCAGGGGGCAAAAGAAACCTTGGTAAAATGAGTTGGTTAAACCTGGGGAATAACAGTTCAGACTGTCAGTGACATTTTTTCTGGTTAGCTGGCTAGTGAAATATTAAATTATACTCAAAGCATCCGTAGAATGAGCTGGGCAGGATGGTTGTACAACCGACCTATGTTCCATCTGATGGCCTGGACAAAGGAGGAAGAAGACTCATGCTTTGCAATTGAATTATTTTTTTCTCCCTCTCTAATACAGTAACTAGTTTAAAAAAATCACAGAAAATCATGTAAAAGTTGAGGTTTTATATTTCCTCGTACTGATGTATCACAACACAAGACACCGGCTATAAAAGACGTATACAGTAGTTCCACTTGTACTCTGCTCTTCCTGGGGAATAAACAATTAATCCTGTGTGGTCTAAAGGATTATTGTTTATTTTCCCTCATCTGAATATCCTCTTTTGCCCCTCTTTAACTGCAGCTTTAGGACAATGCTCAAAGAGCATATGGAATGAGTAAAACAATCAATACAATAGCAATGGCAATGGCACAGTTAAGTAATACCTGTGAGCAAATAAGAGGAGAAGCCAGCCTTACATTCATCCAGCAAACTGTTTTTTACTTTGATTTCTATTGAGGTATCCTCTTCTACTATAAACATAAACCCAAATAATTTTAATCACGTTTTCTGCAGGTCAATATTCAAATTGTACTTTCATTGTGGCAGCAGATTTTATTTACTGAACAGCAATGGTCACTAGCAGACAGAACTTTTAGGTTCTAAATTCTGAGTTTGAGACATCTTATTGCTGTAGACAAGCAATTAACACTCAGTTTCTTATCCATTTTAAGCAGGAAAAATCCCTAATTAGTATTTCCAAAGTTAAAGAATCTTATACAGCATATCTGATTTTTATAGACATAGAATATTTCTATCCTTCCTCCAAGTTACAGTGAAGATTAACAGCAATTCTCTATTCCTACCATCTACATTCCTGTATATTAAATTTCACCAAAAATAAATAAGCAAATATTATTAAATAGACTTTGAAATGCCATAATCTCAAAACCAGGTCTTGTTGCAACATCAAACAAGATAACATGGACCATATGGACAAGTTTCAGTCTAAGTTAACAAATTATTATGTATTTCACCCTTTTGAGAAGGAGGGTCATACCTAGCCTGAACCCCTTGATAGCAACACCACTGCCTTCAGAGCTCTTACCAGACTTGCTAATTATTCTTCCAGAACTGGCAGAAACTTGAACTCTGACCAGACTTACCCACAGCACTTGCGGCAGTTTAATGCACAGGAGAAATCAAAGTTGTATATTTGCTCTTTTACAAAGGAAAAAGTCTGCAGCTCACTACCATTAGGTGTTTGCATTCTGCGACTAATATATCCCTGAGAGGATGTAGAGAGTCTAATGACATACACACTTTTCTAATTATTTAAAGAATAGCTCATATTCGTTAGTCAAAAATTCTTAGCTGCACAGTTGTATAGCAGGATATCCTTACAAAGGTGCTCAACCACACATGTGTGCAATTATATTGTAATGACAAATTTAAACTAGAGTATGTAAATATAAACTGACAGAACAATTAACAGAAAAACCAAGGAACAATAAGCAAAGTCTTTTCTTTGCCAAATTACATTTACAACAAAACTAATGGACGCTCTTGAACAAAGAGGGAATGAATAGCATGTATATGTTTCATTGGGCTTTTGCAAACAGAACCATAACTCCCATCCTCCCTAAAACAGCCCTCCGAGCTTGTGCTGTCACAGGACTGCTTTTGCAATTCCCCTGGCAGTGCACAGGCAAGCCAGGATGGCACCAGACAGCAGTCCTGACTCATACCACATTAATCCACTGGCTTTAAACACCGCAGACACAGCCATGGCTT